CACTTCAGGGCAAACTAGCTGCCCCCCCCCCTGTACACCAGGCCTCTATACTAATAAAAGGGTAATTCTGTGCTTCAGGATTCCACCTCCAGAGGCCATAATGTGGGCACTTTAGATATGGCCTTCTAAGTAATTAGACTGGGAAACCTTCCAGAAGACCTTCTGGACAAAGCCATGTGGTGGGGCTGAGGCAGAGGCAGTTAGGGGCCAAGAGGGGAGGGAAGTTGTGAGTGATCAGGCCAGGATGGGATGGCAGTTGTGGGTGATCAGCCTGGGGGGGGGGGGGGGCATTGGGAGTGATCAGGCCAGCCCCCAGGGGAGGAGGGGTATTGGGAGTGAGCAGGCTAGCAGGGGAGCAATTAGGTGTCAATCAGGCTGGCAGGTGGGAGCAGTTAGGGGACAATCAGGCAGGCAGGCAGTTGAGCCATTAGGAGCCATCAGGTTTAGGCCTGATCCCCCAAGGGGTACCAGATTGGAGAGGTGCAGGCCAGGTTGAGGGACCATCTCCCCCCACCTCACGTGCACGAATTTCATGCACTGGGCCTCTAGTATACATATATATGAATTAAAATAAGCTAATACCATAATAGCACTCAATTGACAAATATTTGGAAGATACATCTGAACTAATCTTCCTTCAGGGTGCATATCCTGTGAGACAGTAGCATGGATTGCCAAGCTGATGCCCCTTCTCCCTGCATATTTAAACATTTCTCTAACTATCTTTTGATTAGTGGTGTGTGTATTTTTGAGTTTTAAGCAAATGATTACTCATGTTATTCTATGTTATTTTATTTTATTTTATTTTATTTTATTTTATTTTTTACAAATTATTTTGTTGGGTGCAGAGTATTCCAGCATCTAAATGTGCTATAATACTTAACTAGTCCCAACTATTGGACTTTTAGTTTGGTTCTGATTTGTCATTACCATAATTAATCTATGACAAACATTCTTACGTAAAAACATTGTACACATCTCTGATAAATTCCTTAGGATAAATTTTTACAAGTAGACTGGGTCAAAGGGTATGGATGACCTTAAAATTTTTGATTTGCCAAATGAACTCACATTCCTCTCAGAAACTATTAAGGGCCCCCATTTTCATTCTCTTCACCAATAATGAGTTTTGCCACTTCAAAAAAAAAAAAATCTTTACCAATCTTAAACAATAAGTGGTAGAAAACACCTGTCTCCTACATTGTTCTGATAAGTAAGTACAGTATGGGGAAGGTAATCAAGTCTTGACAAGGCTAAGTTCTGATTCTGAAGATGAGGTTTCTGTGGCCTGCTCTAGAGTTAGAATATGAAGGTTATATACAAAGAAAGCTTCTTACCTCAGAACAGACTCTGCATTTGTGAATCATCAGTGAGAGGCTTGGATTCTCGTTCTAGCCAGTCAGGTTTCCTCAGGCTAGTTCTGTATTCTCGCAGTTTACCTTAAATACCTCAGAGGAGCCAGCAGGATGCTTATCTATGTGGGTAAATCAGCTTGAATCTGTGCTTCAGGATTCCACCTCCAGAGGCCATAATGTGGGCACTTTAGATATGGCCTTCTAAGTAAAACAGTACGAGAAGAAATTAATTAGTATAAGGACTGTCAGAAATAATTTTTTCAATGATGAGATGAATGGGTGTGAGATATGAAGCTGACAAGTAAGATTATACAAGTAAGAATTCCTTTTATTGAGCAACATAAGTGAGTTTGATAACTTAATGCTTCTGGAGTAGCGCTCTAAAACTCCGTTTGTTCCCTACTCCTCCACTTAATCAGGCATTTAGTTGCTTGATCTGGCTAGTAGGGTTATGTTATTACTTAGTTTCCTGGTGAACAAAATTTGTGCACATTAAAAGGGGATTAATTAGAGGAAATTATTTAATATTGCTATTTGCTCTTTCTCTGTAATAGAAGTGTCGGAAATGAAAGAAAATTAGTAAAATGTATATGAAAACCTTCCTCCTGTCAGAGTCTGGGGTACACCACGAGACCCAGAGTCAAGTCCCTGCCCATTCACATGCACCTCAAAATTGCTTAAGACCCAGACCCCCCTTTCCTTCCCACATTGGGCTAGATCCAGACCTGGCCAGTCCCACCCTTGTCAAGCCCTGCCGGGTATGGGGGTGCATCCTTAGGTCCCCAGGCCTGTGCTGGGGCGGGGGCTCGGCCTGAGGTCCCCAGGATAGGAAGCGCACTGCCAGGCAGGGGGTGTGGTCTCAGATCCCCTGGCCTGGCACTGGGGGGTGAGGGGATGTGCAGCCTGCGGTCCCCAGCCTGATTCCAGGGCTGGGGGCACAACCTGAGGTCCCCTGTCAAGCCCTAAGGGGGCAGGGAAGAGCGTAGCCTTGGGTCCCTGCTGATTGTTCGTTATAGCTCCTTATGGGAACTTGGTCTCAAATGTGGGTGCAGCCATCTTTGTGATGGAGTGATTGTCAATTAGCATATTCCCTCTTCATTAGATAGCATAATACAGGTGCACTTGCCCCAGAGAGAAACTTTCCTGGGAAGGTTCCCACAGAGTGCAAAATAAGACAGCGAGGGGGGACACTGAGCTTCCAGAAACATGTTTTGAACTCTAATGGTGCCTGCCTGGTGATAAATATCTTTCCTATGGCAGAATTCAACCCCCAGACTTGCTTTCATTGTAACATAACACCTGGGAGTAATGTTGTGGGGAAGAAGACCTATCATTTCTAACTTTACTTCTGAAACATTTTGCTCATCTCTGTGTGTTGCAGAAGGAATAAATTATTTGACTTCCCAATTAGTTCTAAAAATTCTAGATGATGTGGTAAAAGAACTTAGCATTTGATTCAGGTTGCCTGGCATCATCAATCAGTAAAAAGGAAATGTTATTTATAATATTTAATATTAATTTTAATGATGCTTAATAGAAAGTGAACGAAAAGGAAATTAAACTGCAGAGAGAATAAATAAGTTTGAGAGGCCTTTCTTACTCCAAAATTCATGTTCTTTCTACTGTAATACCCCTCTAATATAAAGTGAATTGTGTCCTCCAAAATTTTCTAGGTTGAAGCCCTAACCCTCAGTGCAACTGTATTTGGGGATAGAACCTTTGAATATTATAGATTATTAAGGTTCAATGAAGTCTTAAGGTGGAGCTCTAATCCAATATGAATGGTGTCCTTATAAGAAGAGACACCAGGTTTGCACATGCACAGAGGGCAGGCCTTGGGAGGACACAGCAAGAGGGTGGTTGGCTATCTGCAAGCCAAGGAAAGAGGCCTCAGGAGAAGAAATCAAACCTGCCACCACTTTGATGTTGGACTTCTAACTTCCAGAACTATGAGAACATAAATTTCTGTTGTTTAAGTCCCCAACTCTGTGATATTATGTAATGGCAGTTCTATTGACTGGTACACCCTCACCTTTATGAGATGGGGCAGAAAGATGCTTAAGAGGGCAATTGTGCTGAGGTTTCCGCTCAGGAAAATCAAAAGTGGCAGACTAAGAGATTTTCTGAAAAGAATCAGCCACCACAATTTTGTGAGATTATGGAGTTTTGTTACTTACACATTTTTTTCATCGTTTTAGTAACTAGAACTAAATCTAAATGAAAATCACCCTTTAATTCATTCAGCAAGTATTTGTTGAGGACCTACTTTCTATCAGGCAAGGTACTAAGTAAGATGGTATCAAAGGTGTCTACCCTCGGGAGAGTTCAGTTATCATTCAGACATCAGGGAAGGAGGGCCTAGGAGGGGAAAAGGGCCCAGGGTAATAGGCCAGTGGGAGACAGCCCCAGGAGAGGAAAGCTAGAGAGCCTGGGCCTACAAGCAAGGGAATGAGGAGAAAGTAAGAGGTTGGGGTAGTTCAAAGCCTGGGGACAGTGGTAGAAAACTAGTAGAGATCAAGGTGGTGGCGTAAGAGGGTTCACTAAGGACCAGGGAGGACCCCTAGTGATGCTGGGTGAGTGGGGATGGGGAAGAGGAAACTAAATAAAAAGAGGTCCATGCCAACGCTGGTGTGACTGAGTGATTGAACATTGACCTATGAACCAGAAGCTCACAATTCGATTCCCAGCCAGGGCACATGCTGATCCACAGTAGGGAATGTGCAGGAGGCAACCAGTCAGTGATTCTCTCTCATCATTGATGTCTCTATATCTCTCTCCTCCCTTCCTCTCTGAAATCAATTAAAAAAAAAGTTTTTTTTTTTTAAGAGGCTCTATAGCAAGTTTTCACCTGCTTAACAGTTTTGCCTGAAGCCAAGCAATTTATCTGTATTGTCTCCTGAATCATCTTCCCTGGTAGCCCTAGTGCAGAAATAGTTTGACTTATTGCTCAAGTTGATGGAAGTTTTGTCATCTTAATTAACTACCCTTTTCCATTACAGGTTGGAAAATGTGAGGTAAGTTGGAAAAGTTCAAGGGGCTTCTCAATAAGCTTGGTAGCTGGCACTGCCATGAAGTCAACATAGAGCTTCAGTGTAGTCCATAACCATGAAAATGAAGTTTGCTTCAGATAAATCAAAATGCTTATAGAAGTCAAATGGACTATCAGCAGATCCATTACCAAGAAATGTCCTGTGCAATGATCCTTTCATGCATCAAACAATGCATAGTGGTGCTTTCCTGGCCCTGTTCCTGTAACTGTCCCTCTCTAGGGGAACAGTATTCCCTCACCTGGTCTGTCCTGCAGACAGGAAGGGAGGCAGAGGGAGGAGTAATGACTTTGGAATTGGCTCCCCAGGTTAGAGAATCTGTGCTCTCAGAGACCTTTAAGAAACATTTAGCTCTGGGTGATTTTAACATTGATTGACTTGATAGATTTTTAAGATTTCCTCCAGCACTTTGACTCTGTGACTCTGATGACTAGGAAAATGTTCACTGATGCACAGACCTCACTTCTCATTGCCATATTGCCAAGTTATAGCTCATGTTGGACCCAGGCTTTTGTGCCCACCAGAGTGATTATTACCAGACCATAGCTGTTGGTATTTACATCAGTTTTAATTCAGATCACCTTCTATTCAATCACAGGTCATCTTTAGATGGTGGAAGATTTCTCTAAGGAGTGGGTATCAATCATCAACAAAACCTGGAGAAGTAAAAGAATCTTATGAAGACTTCCTAGAGAATTCACATCTTCAGAGTAAGGAAGGGAGCATGCTAGTTAAGCTCCCTTTAGTGATTTGCTGTTAAGCTCCCTTTAGTGATTAGTTTGGTAGAGAAGGCTCAAAGACATCATTTGAAATATCGATGTCATTCTGTACTTAATACAGTAGATATAGTAGAACATTGGATTCTTACAGCAAGTATTTATAAAATTCATTATTATCTTAAAAAGAACCATGTTGGGGAAAGACTGTCCATGTTTCATGACTAAAAATCAGTCCAGGCCATCCTTCCTTATTTAATATAGAGGTATGTGGTTACAAAATAAATTAGGAAACACTTTTCTTTTTCAAGTTTAGATCCATTTTATTTTCTAAGCCCTGTAGTACCTAATCCAGAACTGGATGTTTAGTGGTGTTGAATATTCATCAGCAGACCATGTGATTTTTCAGACTGACTTCCACAAAACCCAGAGAAGGGGGTTGGGCGGGAAAGATTGGAGGTAATTGTCTTCTAAGTGGAGGCTTAAAGGCAGAGTCCTCACCTGGCCTCTTGTTTGCCTTGGGCACCTCCAACACCCCTACCTGGGGGGAGGATGACACCAGGTTCAGGATAACCACTTGTGGGTTTCCTGATTCTGAAGGAATGGGCAATAAAACGGGAATTTAAGGGTCAGACTGAATCCTTACACCCCCCAAAACAAACAAACAAACAAACAAACCCTCCTTTCTGGAAAGGAAAGTGGAGGGATTCAGTCAAGGAGTATACCCACACTGGCTTTTAAAACTGCAATTTGGAGCGTGACTCATTTCAGGGCTACCTGCAGCCTTTCTCCAGGAGTGGGGCTGAGTTACCACACTAAATTGGCCTGGTGAGTTCAAAAGCTTCTGTCTCTCACTTTTTAGACCTACAGCATCCCAGCAGAGGGGAGACCTCCAAACCACACTACTATTTATCCCCCTCCTCCCCTTGGTTCTCAGGGAACCCCTCAGATGGAGGCAGCATCCTTGATCCTGCTCTGTACCACAGTGCAGAAGGAGGAAGGGTGTACTGTGGCACAGAGCAGGATCAGGGGTGCTGCCTCCATCCAGCATGGTGTGTCATCATTGGTTGCTGCTGTTGTTAAGAAAATAATGTTGAGGGTGTGAGGGTCAATTTGCATGTTATCTCTTTATTATATAGGTTTCCATCACCGTCTTTTGTCATAGTTCCAAGAACTCCCACTAAATTGTTTTTCATCCAAAGTAATTCTGCTTAAATCCTACACATTGGTGACATGTCTAGAAATCTGGGTTAGTCTTGGTGGCATCCTTGGCAAAGGACCTGACCTGTGTCACTCTTGCTTCATTGGCTTCTCAGTAGCACTTAGCTCAAGCTGACATTTTCTTTCCTGACTTCCAGGGCATCTCTCTTGATTCTCCTCCTGCTTCATTGGCCCCATCTCACTCTCCTTGCTGGTCCTCCTCATCTCTCCAAGTCTAAATGCTGGAGCCCAGGTTCAGTTCTTGTGTCTCTTTCCTTGTCTGTCTATACTCCCTGAGAGATTGGATCAAAGCTCTGGCTTTAAATGACACCCATCTTTAAAAGCCCCTCATCTCTGGCCTGTACCTCTCCCAGAACTCCATACTCAGAAATATATCCAGCTGCCTTCTCAACATCTCACTTAAATGTATAGTAGCCTCTCCAATATAACATGTCCAAAAATAGCTCCTGATGGTCCCCTAAACCCTTCCCAGAAAATGTCAGCCAAAGATTCTACAGTTACCCTTGACTCCATTCTTCTCTTACATGCTAGATTGAATCCATCGATATAACTAGAATCCAAACTGTGGTGACCCCCAATGATGCCTACCAACCAACAGTCACACTTTTGTGTAATCCCCTCCCACACTGTATCTAGGTCAGCTGTGCAACCAATAGAACTTGGCAGAAGTGATGGTATGTCACGTATGAGATCATGAAATGAAAAATGGGCCTTTTCTCTCTTTTCTCCCTTTCTCTCTTCCTTTCATCTCTTGCTCTGGTGGAAGACAGCTCTGTGGGATAGGCCCATGCAGTGAAGAATCGAGGCCTTCACTCAACAGCCATGTGCACGAGTTTTTTTTAGAAGAGGGTCTTCCAGCCTTAGGCCTCAGATGATGCAACCCATGATGCCTTGACTGTAACCTAATGAGAGGCAAACCCCAAACCAGAACCATCCAATTAATCCACTTCTAGATTCCTGAACCCCAGAATCTGAGATAAGTGATAAGTGTCTATTGTGTTAAGGCAGTAAACTTTGGAGTACTTTGATAACTACAATAGATAATACACAAATGAATGCTTCTAACCATCTCCACTTCTGGTCCAATCGAGGACAACCTCTCTCCCAGATCATTGTACCAGCCTTCTATCTGGTCTCACTCTTTCCACCCTTGCCCCACAGTATTTTGTTCTTAGCACAGCAGCCATTATTCCAATGTTTGTTATAAAATGAGACTTTGTTAATATATTGGTGTCACAATATTTCAATTTTGAGTATTTTAAAATCCTTGCAGGACATTTAGTCCTGTCCAAAATGTTCACACTTAGAAACTGTCCTTGGGTTCACATAGCCCATAATGCTTTTTTCTACTTTTTAGTTTATGGGATTAATACCTTAAAAATACTATCATATTTCATTGGCCCAATAATTATGTTGTGGCTGTATTGCCAATAATAACCCCTCTTGCCTGGGTAGCCTGGCTGGTAATGGCCTGTGGGATTAGGCAGGTGGGTTGGGATTTGAATCTTTTAGGAGAACTGTATTTATATTAACTATGAACCAAATGTCTGCTGACATTTTAGACAGGACCAAATATCCACTAATCATTAAAAACTTATAGAAATTAGAGGCCCAGTACATGAAAATTGTGCACTGGGAGGGGGAGGCTGTCCCTCAGCCCAGCCTGCACCCTCTCCAACCTGGGACATCCCTCTCACAATCTGGGACTGCTGGCTCCTAACCACTCGTTTGCCTGGCTGCCTGATTGCCCCTAACCACTCTGCCTGCCAGTCTGAAAGCCCCCTTACTGCTCCCCTGCCAGCCTAATTGACAACCGCTCCCCTGACAGCATGATTGACATCTAACTGCTCCCCTGCTGACCCAATCACCCCCAACTGCCCTCCCCTGCAGGCCATCTTGTGACAATGTGGGGGCGGCTATCTTGTGATGATGTGGGATGGCTATCTTGTGGAAGCCATCTTGTGATGACGTGGGACAGCCATCTTGTGACAACATGGGGGTGGCCATCTTGTGATAATGTAGGGCGGCTATCTTGTGGTGTGAGGGCATGAGAGTCAATTTGCATATCACCTCTTTATGATATAGGATACCTGTTACTTCACTATATTCACAAATTGCTCTCCAAAGCTGCTGTATTAATTATACTCTATCTACCAGGATACAGCAATTTTCTTATGCCTTTGCCATCACTAATTAGATATTTCTATCTTTTTTCATCCTTTCCAGTCATAGTGAAATCAATATCTTGTCTAATTAGCATTATCCTGATAATGAGTAAGTTGAGCTCCTGTCATGTTTAATTGCCATTTATATTCTTTCTGTAGTCTGCCTGTTTGTATTCTTTGTCCATTTGTCTATGAATTTTGAAGTTTTTTTTTTCTTTCTGAGACCTTTAACAATCTGAGGAAATGTCTATAGATTTTCCTCCCAAGTTAAATAAATAAGGACAATCAGGAAATTAGCTATTAAAAACTTTAAAAAATATTTAGTTTAAGGTAAAAATGTACCAATATAAACTCAATTTGAAAAGAGCTGATTTATGGGTTAAGATTGAATCCAACTTAAAAATAAGTTGTTTTCCAACTTATATTCATTTTAAAGTTGGTTGTTCATTTTAAAGTCAGCTGCTTTGAATGAGTTCTAAGTGGTGGTTAAGTATTTGGGTAATCCACAAAAATCCTTGTGATAAAACCAAATGACAACTATACTTTCTGAACCAAATGACGAAGGTTTCTTATTTTGGATATTGCATGTGAAAGGAAATGTGGGATATATATATTCGTTGTATTTTTACAGAGAGCAAGGGAGAGGGATAGAGAGTTAGAAACATCGATTAGCCACCTCCTGCGACCCCCCTACTGGGGTTGTGCCTGCAACCAAGGTACACATGCCTTTGGCCAGAATCGAACCCAGGACCCTTCAGTCCGCAGGCCAACACTCTATCCACTAAGCCAAACCATTCAGGGCAGGGAGATATCATTTTGATGTCAAAGTTTTTTAATTCCCTTGGACATTTAGCTGATTGTGGGAAGAATACAACTGAATGTTTGAAATGAGAACTATAATGAAAAATTGATAATACTAATAAACATGAATATCCTGAAACACTGAGTTCTAGATCCTAAGGGTATGAGTAGAGCAGGAAAAGAAAATGGGAAAGAATAGTCCTTACCTTCTTTTCAGCCTGGGCTGATCCCATGTATGGATCCTTAATCCATTTTCTCTAGGTCCTTTCTCCTGCCTTACATCTCAGCCTTGGACCTGAATTTTCTCCTGCCTAACTACCACCTCTGACTGCTCCTCTGATCAGCCTATCTTCAGCCTGGATTCTTAGAATTTCTGCAGACCTGGGGTCAGTCTGTGAGTGGAGGATGGGATAGGATAATGTTAGGGCAGAAGCATTACAAGGCAGCATGGGGTCAGTTTCCTGTATATCCTCCCAGACATTGTCTGTGCATATATTCAACACATGTTAACACAAAAAGAAAAATCTTATACCTTGTGTTCTATACTTTAAGCTTTCAAAGTTTTTAAATTTAGAAGCATCTTGCACCTACAAAACAGAACAGAAAGTAATACCTAACACCACTAACCGAAAATGTTAACATTAGACAGATTTACTTCATTTTAGCCAGATTACCAAATATGTTGGTGAAGTTGCTCAGAATATCCTCTCCTTTCTATATCTATAGTATCTGTAGTAATGTTTTCTTTTTAATTCCTTAATCGTGGTAATTTGTGCACCCCCCTTTTTTTGTCTTGATGAATCTTGTTGAAAAGTTACTCATTTTATTAATTTTTTCAAAGAAGTAACTTTTAGCTCTATTGATTTTCTCCATTTTAGTTATTGATTTTTGCTCTTACCTTTATTATTATTTCCTTCCTACAACTTTCTTTAGGTCTGATTTATTGTTCTCTTTCTAGTTTCCTGAGATGGAAGCTTAATCATTGTTTTTAGCCATCTCTCCCCACTAAATGTTCTTTAATTGCTTCTGTGTCTGTATTAGATAAGTTTTGTTAAGTTGTATCTTTAGTCTCATTCATATTAAAATATTTTCTAAATTTCATTTTGATTTCTTCTTTGACTCATAAATTATTTTAAAACATTCTGTTTAATTTCCAGGTAGTTGGGATTTTTTTGTTACTTTCCCTTCCCCCAACTTCTGGCTTAATTGCATATGACCAGAGAATTGGGGCCATATTAATCTTCTCTTTGTCATCCCAGTTTTATTATATATGCTGCTGAGGTGAGCACCATATTTATTAATATCTTTTAAAAATAGTTAAAAAGCCACATATACAATCAAATTTCTACCTCTTATCTATTTCCCTTTATTCTCTCCTAGTAACTAAAGTTCTAAAGTTGGTATCATTTCTAAACATATTTATTACACATAGTTACAACTATATGTAAATAATACATACTATTTTTATACTTAAAATTTAACATAAATTATATCATACTATATAGTTTTTTTAACTTTGTTTTGTCAATCAACACTGTTTTTGAGATTTATCCATGTTGATATATGTGGATCTAATTCATTCATTTCAATGGTCAATGATATTCTATTTCATTATAAACCATAGTTTATTCAATCATTTCTCCTACTGAGGGTAGTTGGGTATACTAGTTTATGAGTATTAAATCTGCCTGGTGAATTATTTCTTTTACCAATAAGTAATGGTCTTTCTTATCACCAAGACTGAATTTTACTTTAAAGTATATCTTGTCTGCTAGTAACATGTTTTTCTTTTGGTTTGAATTAGTCTTTTTCTGTACTGTTACTTGCACTTTTCCATATCATTGTTTTAGCATGTCTATTATAAATAACATATAGGCAGAAATACTTGTGTGTATGCCTGTGTTATTTATCTGAGATTCTTTTATCTTGCCTGATTAGTTCATTTACATTGATAATGATTACCACTGTGCCAGTAATTGCTATCATCTTTTAAAAAATATATATTTTATTGCTTTTTTACAGAGAGGAAGGGAGAGAGATAGAGAGTTAGAAACATCGATCGGCTGCCTCTTGCACACCCCCTACTGGGGATGTGCCCACAACCAAGGTACATGCCCTTAATCGAAATCGAACCCGGGACCCTTCAATCCGCAGGCCGATGCTCTATCCACTGAGCCAAACCAGTTCCAGCTTATTTAAATATATATATATATATATATATATATATATAATGTTTATTGATTACAGAGAGGAAGGGAGAAGGGTAGAAAGATAGAAATATCAATGATGGGAGAGAATCTTCAATGGACTGCCTTCTGCATGCCCTCCACTGGGGATTGAGACCGCAATCTAGGCATGTGCTCTTGACTGGAATCGAACCTGTGACCCTTCAGTCCACAGGCTGATGCTCTGTCCACTGAGCTAAACTGGCTAGGGCTATTCTTTTATCTTATCATACTTTTTCTTTGCTTTTTTGTTTGGCTCCCATTTTCTTCTTTCTTTCTTTTTTTTTTCTTCTTTATTCTGTTTTCCCCCCTTAAGACAGAGTTGGCATTTGCCCCTACCTTGTACGTGTGACTGTGTGACCTACTTTTGCTCAGTAAGATGTGAGCTCAAGTTCTTTCATAGAGCTCCCCAGAAGAGCCCTACAGACAGGGACAGACCAGCTTCCATGGACATATTCGTTCATTGCCCTGCCCCTTTTACCTGCTGCACCCTGGTTGATGTCTTGGTACAGAAACCATCTTAGCATAACCCCAAGAATGAGAGCAACATCCTAGAATGTGAAACAGAGAGATAAAAGGACCCTGGGACATTAATAACTTAATAGAGCTCTGGCAGCAGTCTGCAGCCTACCTTCAGAATCTAACTGTGTGAGGGAAAAAGAAAAATCCTAGTTGTTAAGCAAACTTAAACCGAGTTTTCAGTTTTGTTCAGCTGTGAACCAATCTCCAACTGACTACAGAGCAATTATTTTGGAAGTTATATATATTTTTTCTCCCTTCATTCCTCCTTCTTCCCCATCTCACTCCCTTCTTTTTCTAGATTTAAAAAAAAATTACACTGGTTCTGTGGGTTTATTATAGATGTAAACAAGAGCCTTCACAGCTGAAAGCTTTTCTAAAAGAAAGGGTTTGTTGAGCCTTATGCCAGCCAGAAAAAGGACCATGTCCTGGGACATGCAGCCTAACCCACAGCCAGATGGAGAGGATTACAAATCTGCCATCTTGGAATTGACTGGCTCTTTTCTACCGTATATTAAGTTTGGGGAAGAAAGATGAAAGTTGTTTTGAGAGAATTTACATTGGCTGTAGATAAAAGGGTGAGAGAAGTTGAAGCAGGTAAGTTCTGGGACAGGTGCAGAGCCCGGGAGGTTGGTTACGGAAAAGTTAACCAACTTTTAACCAGTCTGGAAAAGTTAATGCGTAAGCAAGATGCTGTGGCACTAATGGTCCACTATGCTCTCTGGGTATTCTCTGGAATAGCCGCCTGGAAGTTAGCTCAAAGTTTCAGTGTACACTCAGGAATGGAAGCAGTCTTTTGTTGGTTTTGCTGTGAGTTGTTAACTGATTAATCTCTCTTGTCTCTTCCTACCACCCTCTGGTCTGCTGTAATTTAATTTAGGACATTGCAGAATTTTTTACTTGTCAATAGAGAGATTAGAAAATACAGACAAAAAAGTAAAAGTCTCCCTCCAGATTTAACCACTGTTAAAATTTGAATATGTATCCTTCCAAACATGTTTTCCTACTTATTTGCTATTTTCTGGTTATTCAGGGAGCTTGGGTTAAAAAAAAAAACAAAACACACACTTCGTTTCCCCTTATATTGAACATGTGAGGTAGATCATGATATTGGTTGATTCTTTGTGAACTGTTTCATAATTTGGAAATCACAAAATCAGTATGAAAAATATTGGGCAAAAGTTAACACAATTTCCATGAAATATTCATCTATTTTTCTCTTTGTCTCTATTTTTTTCCTACTCTGTAAAGATAAAGGTAAAAAGAAGGTAAAGAGGGCCCTGGCTGGTGTGGCTCAATTGAATGAGCGTCATCCCAGGCACCAAAAGGTTACTGGTTCGATTTCTGATCAGGGCACATTCCGGGTTGCAGGCTTGGTCGTGTAGGGACATGTAGGAAGTAGCCTATTGATGCTGTGCTCTCACATCGATGGATGTTTCTTTCTTCTCCCTTCCTCTCTCTCTAAAAATCAGTAAACTATTTTTTTTTTTAAAGAAGGTAAAGAGGAAGGAAGAAACTTTGTTGGAAAAGCTACATATAACAAAAGAATAATAACTAAACAAAATTAAGATATATATATATTTTTTGGACCCATCTGGGGAGAGAAGAGATGGCAGATAAACTACATGAATCAGTCGGGAGGTTGTGAGGGTGGGATGATGATGTTGCTGAGACTGATTAAGTCAGATGTCTGGACTGCAATTTATGCAGATGAGATCAAGGCGATGTAGTCCATCACTGTGTTACACACTGAGTGTCCCTAAAAGGTTCTGACCTCGGGCAGGGATAGCAATGGAAAACAATTGCCTCCAAATGCATCCCACTGGGCCCACAGGCAGCTTGGTGGAAGTAGGAATGACTCAGTATAATCTAATGGCACTCTCAGGGAAAAAGTGCCCCAAAGCCTGCATCTTACTGATAATGATCAAGTTTTATGTGACTGCACATGATAATCATCTTGGTTTGTTGTTTTCTTTGAATTACAGTTCAAATTGCCTTGGTATTTGGTGCAAGAATATTGGACTATGTCTTCAATTTGTGTGAAGGTAGAATTGACTTCCTTGAGCGGCTCTCAGACAATTTGCTCATGATTATCATTTCTTATCTGGACATTGATGATATTGCCAGCCTTTCTTTTACATCACACAGATTTTCAAAGGTAATGGTCAAATATTTTGTGTCCATAGAGAATTTTCTTGTGCTTTGTTAAAGTTCTTTTTCTGTATTTTTAAAAAAATATTGCAGTGATTTTTTATTTGACTTTTATTTCAGCAAGCATGTGTTAAATATTTACTTTAAAATTTTTGTAAAAATATGTTTTCATTGATTTCAGAGAGAGGAAGGGAGAGAGATAGAAACATCAATGATGAGAGAAAATTGATTGGCTATCTCCTCAATGCCCCATACGGGGCCTGAAACCTGGGCATGTACCCTGACCTAGAATCTAACCACTGATTACGATGATGCTCAACCAACTGGGCCACACTGGCCACATCTCTTAAGTTCTTTATTTCATTTCATTCTCAAAAAACTGTATGATATAGATCCTATTTTTCATTCTTATTTTAGTGATAAGGAAACTAAGACTCAACAAGATTAACTTGTCCAGTGTCCTACAGCCAGTGAAGGGCAGAATTGAGATTTCCAGGCATTCTGTCAGTCAGTTGGTGGGCTAGTGTCATAAATTTTCCACTAAGGGACATGTGCAGTCAGCAAGTGCTCACCGAGTTCCTGCTGTGGGCCAGTGTGGCTCAGTTGGTTGAGATTTGAAGGTGGTAAGATTGACATGGTCCCTGCATTCAAGGAGCTTACACCTGAATGAGGGACAGAGGCAGTACACAATGAACTGTCTGGACAGTGACGGCTGTGATGAGTGCTCAGGGGACTGGCGTGGGGTATTGTGAGACATAATTGACTTGGAGCTTCCCTGAAGAAGGGACATTTACCTGACCAGTGTGGGTTAGCCAGGCTGAACGGGAAGCAGCCTAGTTAGGCAGAGGGAGCTGTGTGCCAGAGACCCTGAAGACTGAAGAACAGAATAAGGCAGTGCTGCTAGAGCAGAAATGAAGCTGGAGAGGCTCTTGGGAAGAGAGGAGGGGTGCTGAGAGAGGATGGGGCAGATGACAGGGATGTGGTCAGGTGCTGTTTTAATGGATCTTGTTGAAAAAGAGAGTTGCAAGGTCACCTTTATGAAACAGAAAGGTTTCTAGGCCAGACCTGACTCTGCAGCAATGGGTCTGTCTTGAAAGCATAACCATAAACGTGGAGACACTTAGTGTGTGGATTCAGGAGTAGGAGGGGGCCCTAGCCCTGGAGAGCCTGTGGTGCCATCCCATGGTCAAGATAGGAAGTTTCCACTTATCAAACTTCATGCCACCAGCAATCAGGACCTTCCAGCTGCCAGTCCTTGATCCTACCGTGTCGACCAAGTTACAGTGCTCCATGGACTAGTTCCTGTAGGTCTGGTGGGCTGGCTGTTTATATTTCTCAGGTCAAACCACTCTTCTGGGAGCCTGACTAATAGAAAGGCGAATTGTGGTAAGCTCACTAAGCTAATGCTGCCCGGGAACCTGCCTAAGGCCTGCTGGCAGGCTCTGGTGACACTGGGCATTGATACTCTGCTGTTTTTGCAAACTGCTGCAAAGTAGACCTGAGGAAACCCCTACAGCTAGATGAGAAGGCCCAGGGACAGACGGGGGAGGGACAGTCATGACTAGTCTATAAACATGTTCATCTTGATCATGACTCAGGAACACTATGGAAAAAAACCTCTGCTATAACAATTTTGGCTATTGAGAAACAGTCCTTTGACCTTGATTCCCAAGTCTGGCCACATGGAAGAAGCACCAGGGCAGCAGTGGAACTGGCGATGTCAGGCCTAGACTCCTTAGGGCTGAGGTGGACTCAGCATCTGTGCTCTTAACATCTTTTCTTGTGTTTACAGTAACCCGAATCTGAGAGTCCAGTCCAAGAATTTGACCCATCGATATGAAAATTGTCCAGATAAAATATCTCAAGAGATTCTAAAAGGCTGGAAGCTTGGGGTGGGAGAGGGATTTTCCTGTCTTTATTGTGTACTGTGTGTTTTAAGTCCACAGGGGGCCAGAGAGCTAGGTTCTGTTCTTAGCTCAACCACTTCCCATCATGAGCCTTTAGTGGACCCTTATCCTCTCTGAACTTTAATTTCCCCATTTTTAAAAGGAGAGGTTTTAAAGAGATAAGTCCTAGGTTTCCTTTCAAATTTTTTTTTGTTTTTATTAAGGATATTATGTTTATAGTTTATATAGTACTATGTTAAAATCATGTACCACCACGAGGGGGCGCTAAGCCCACAGTTTGCTGTACTTGGAATCAAAGTAAGTGGAACCATAGTAAGGGTGGACACCTCTGTGTTTTGTAACCTGGCATCTACCAAGTATAAAAGCCCCAGGGTTTGGTAGTCTTAGATGGAGGTATTTTATGACCAACTTATAATACAAAACAAACTGTAAATATTTTCAGTATAAAATGAGTCAAATGAAATTACACTGGTGGAAATTTCAGCTCTCTTGAGAATTCTTTCTCTTCTCCCAAAACCTCATAGTTCTCTCCCATGAAATGTGTTAATTGGAAACAGAATAGTTATCTTTACTAGTATTAAAGTTTAAACCTGTTTTGTTTTTAATATTTTGACACTTTCTAACTTTTTCCTTTGCTGTATATATTTAGAATATATTGTAATCTGAGTTGAGAAACTAGACCTTGAATGACTGTTGAAGATGGGTTAAGATAATGCACAACCTGCCAAACATTGAAATGTTTGTGGGCTGTCACTATCCATTATTCAGTGTTGCTGTTTAACATTATGTGAATATAACAGTTTTTACTCTGATATTTATGCAGAAAGAATCTTAAGTGATTATGCTTTATTATGCTATTCATTTCTGTTTGTCAATCATTATTTTCTTTTATTAGAGTACTTATACAGTAGCATGAAATCTGAAAATTAAGAACACTGGCTGCTTTCTCCTCAGAAACGAGTGTAATTTAAGTCAGCATGGAGGGACCTGGACAGTATTATGCTAAGTGAAATAAGCCAGGCAGAGAAAGACAAGTATCTCATGATTTCACTCATATGTGGAATCTAATATACAAAATAAACTGTTGAACAAAATATATCCAGAGGCAGAAGCATGAAACAGACTGTGGAATCTCAGAGGGAAGGTGGGGATAGGTTGGGGGAAAGAGATCAACCAGAGAACTTGTATGAAATATATACATAAGCTATGGACACAGAAAATATAAGGGGGAATCTGGATGGTGATTAACTGCCCAAGTGCATTATTGGTACAGGAAGGATGGAGCCAGGAAGTGTCTGTTGCTGAGGCTCATTCGGAACCCTCCTTAGAGCACACTTGGTATTGCTCGAGTTACTGCTCTGCAATACCAAAGGTACAAGGGCCTTTAAAGGTTCCTATTCCTCCATGTACCACAAAGCCATGGCTATCACCCAGGTTGGGGATGCTAAGTTAGTATAAAGGGAGCCCTGCCTTCAGGAAGGATTTGGGTGTGTGGTAGCTAAGGTGTCAGGAAAGCTCCATATTAATAGTGTCTTAGTAGCAGGAGACCGATGAGAGGTATTGCTGTAACTAATGGTGCCACCTGAAAAAGTCCTGCTATTAGGAAATCTTGGGTAAATGGAAGCTGAATTGTGGCAACTTGAACTTGGAAGAAGGGAAAAATGGACTTGTGCAGCTATTGGACCAGAGGGGTCTTGTCTGTCTTTAACCTTATTGCCTCTGGTTAAAGCCCAAGGCTGCAAAAGAGTGTTTCAGAGAAAGTTGTTCCCAGAGAATGGCTCACTTTGCCAGGTGCATGGGCAATGACATGTGTGCAGAGGACTTGGAGTAAAAATTGTGGTAGCAGGAAGGAGTGGGTTTTCCATGTGCCTGCTGGCAATTTATGAGGGCTGCTTGGTCATTTTGATGAAGTTTAACACTAAGTAACCTGCAGGGGACTGACCTGTGAGCTGTGCAAGCCCAGGGGAGAGAAGGCTTGAGCAAGGGCTTAAAATAGATGCAGCCTGGCCAGCGTGGCTTAGAGGTTAAGCACTGACCTATGAACCAGAAGGTCACAGTTTGATTCCTGGTCAGGGCGCATCCCTGGTTGTGGACTCAAACCCCAGTAGGGGACATGCAGGAGGCAGCCAATCAATGATTCTCTCTCATCATTGATGTTTCTATCTCTCTCTCTTCCTCTTTCTTCCTCTCTGAAATTAAAAAAAAAAAAAAAAGGATGCAAATTTAGCAGGAATTAGCTGCTCCCTATTCATTCTAATGCAGTGCTGGGTGGCAGATCAGTTGACTATACCATTATGAACCTCTGTTATGTGGCTAATTAGAAATTAGCTAAATAATGTTATATGTGAACTATATAGAACTATCTTGCATTCTGCATCTTAAATAACATCAGGATTTATTCAAATCAAATATTGCTTTGTCCTTTAGATCTTTGGGCACTTGCCTCTTTCCTCAAATAGAAGTTTGTGGAGGCAGGAACTGTGTCTGGCAACTCTTCATGCACATACAGTGTTTCCTCCCTCTTCATGCACATACAGTGTTTCCTCCCGTGTCTCACAGGCAGCAGGATATGGGTAGTCACCTCATGAGTGAGTGTATCACTTGCACCAAACCCACATGTGACGTGACCCTCTTCTGACTTTTTCCTCCCACAGCTATGTATGTCTGACAGACTGTGGGAGCCGATAGTTGAGGCTGCCAATGAAATCACCCCTGCCATGAAGGCTCTGGCCCAGGACCATAGTTGGAGACAGACATTCTTCACCAAAAAGTTGCAGCTCCGCAAGAAGAAGCGAATTTCAGAAAACCGGGCAGGCAATCAATGATAGGGACGTTGAGGCATAGCTGCTGTGTCCACATCTCTTCTGTGTCCAAATCTTTTCTGCTGTGTCCAAATCTCTTCTGTTTCCTTTCATTGAAAACTAGGAGGAATTGCTGGTTCCAGAAGTCATCTGAAAAACACAAAGTACATACTCACAGATGCAGCAACCCAACTCTGCAGGGCCTTGCCTGAACCACAGTCCTTCCGGTGAAGGTGAAGGTCAAATCAAGGCTGCACAAGAGCTGCAAGACAGGAAGCCCACCAGCGATATCTTCCCTATCCCTAACACCGGAGGTTTCCTGATGCCTTAGCTACCACACACCCAATAAATGGCTACCAGTGGATTCTTTTTTATTACATATCTATTTCATCTAGGCATCGGAAAAGGGAACCAGGCTTTTGAATTCTTTGTGATGGTGTGTCATCTGAGTCCATCCATGGAGCAGGGGGCCACACAGCCTGTGTGTGTTCTTATTGATTTCTGTTGAATCTACCTTATGCACACCCAGAGGGGTAGTGGCCTGGGAGGCATTCCCATGAGTGCCACTGTCTTCCCAACTCTGTTCCTTGTGGTTTGCATTCAGGACCTGGTCCTGTGGGCCCGGGATGCTGGGCATCATCTCGCCATATAGATAACGCCTGCCCTGGCCCTGGTGTATGGCTGACGACCAGGCCGGCATGCTCCTTACAGATCTTGTCTAGAGCTCAGTCTCCCAGGACTTCACATTGCCAAATAGACTATAAATATTTCCTAGAAGGATGTGTTTCCCAAAGGATGTGGACAGTTACCACTCATAACTGTGATTTTTAAGAACACAAGCTGTGGGTGACTGAGTAAAAACCTGTGGTTTGTATTCTTTTAAGTTGTCAGAGGAGTAAAAACACTACAGTTTTAGGAGAGGAAATGCTACCTTGCTGAGATGGGTTATTTAAAAATAGTTTTCTTCCTGTGCTCTCGTGAGGGTTAAATCCTCCAATGAACCCATAGCAGTGGATAAACTAATGACTCCTTTCAGGTTACAGACAAAGTCGCTTTCAACCTCCCATCACCTTTCTAACCTCATTTCTTCATTCCTGCAGCCTCCACTTTGCTACCCCATACCCTCCATGTCAGAGGGTCTCCCCTGATGCAGTGGGACCTCCCCAATAGTGCAGAAAAGGTGAACTGTTGGCTTTCCTCCTCCTAGATTCTTCTAGCATGGTTCCATAGCCATGGCTTAGTGACAGGTATTTTCTTTTCTTTTTTTTTTAAACCCTCAACCAATGATATTTTTCCACTGATATTTAGGAAGAGTGGAAATGAAAGGGAAAGACAGAAAGAAACATTGATATGAGAGAAACACCTCAATTGGTTGTCTCCTGCATGCACCCTGAGCAGAGCCCGGGCTGGGGAGGAGCCTGCAACCAAGGTTTGTGCCCTTGACTGGAATTGAACCCAGGACCCTTTGGTCTGCAGGCCCATGCTCTATCCACTGAGCAAACTGGCTAAAACTTTTTTTTTCTTTCTTTTTAAACCTGTGTTAATATCAAATCAGATTTAAACCCCTTAACACTTGGTCATAGATTTGCAGGGACATCTGTGAAATCAGATGTCAGCTGCTCTCTTGCAGGTGAGGAACAAAGTCATGTCTGGATTTATCCAAGCACAGAGCAAAGATTTAATTGGCGAGAGACCCAGCCCTCGTTCTCTGCTCGTGAGCAGTCCTGCCAGGTGCAGGGTGACTGGCAGGCGGGCAGAGGACACCTGCTTCTGCACAGCTCCTGCTGCCTATTTTTCTCTGAAATTCCGGACTTCATTCTCAGCCAGGTTTTCAGTGACAGATCACAGGTCAATACCATGTGTGTACAGCATTTGTGAGGACGCACAATTTGGAATATCAACATAACTATATGAATATAAAATTACAACTCATTTGTTGCATTGGTGCAAAATGTCAACAGCTCAAAAATGTCATAGGTTGTGTTTTATCAACTAACAGATTCTGAAAGCTTATTGATGTGCAAAATGTAGATTCAACAAGAATTACTAAGAGCACACATATGACCATTGGAAGACTTTTAGTATCTGTATATAATACTGTAATATAAAAATAGATGCTAAAGGTAAATAAAATGTTATCAATGTATTAATCATTGTGGAAGAATAGCTTTAAAACATAGATTACTAGCCCTACCAGGTTTGGCTCAATAGATAGAATGTTAGCCTGCAGACTAAAGGGTCCCAGGTTCGATTCCGATCAACGGCATGTACCTTGGTTGCGGGCACATCAGTAGGGGGTGTGTGGGAGGCAGCTGATCAATGTTTCTAACTATCCCTCTCCCTCTCTGTAAAAAATCAATAAAATATATTTTTAAATGTTTTTAAATTATAGATTACTAGACTATTAAATTAAAATTATTTGCCTTAATTTGGGTGCCTTATTACCTGGCAATCATTATTTTTGCCGAAACATGAACAGTATCATTGACCTAAAATCCTGCATCCTCTGTGGTGGAAACATTTTGTCCTTCTTGTTAGATCCTCATGACAGTCCATCAGGTGAAAATATGGCGATGTTTTGCCTCTCTACCTCTATTGACAGCTTTCATGGGAATGGATAAATCTGCTTTGTTTATGTTACACCACTTCAGAGTGAAATGCCACAGCATTTTATAATTTTGCTCTTTCTCATCTTTTCAGTGAAAAATTGTTTCTATTGTTATCACTTACCATTGTAATTATCAAAGTAAAATATTGATTTTTTAAAATGTTTTATGTTTTAAAGTTAGAACAATTTATTAAAAACAAATGTGAAAATTTATAAACTAAAAAAAAATAAATATGTTTTACCTAATACTAATTTCTATTACTGCTTTTTTTGACATATTATGTGCATTAAACATGGGATGCAAAAGATTTTATTTTACCGAGTAGGCCCATGAATTTGGGAGAGACTATGACTTGGGGCAGGGGTAGGGACAAATCACGAGTCACCTCTTGTCATTGTTTTCCAAGCCCCTTTTACTTGGTGGTCCTCAGCCCTCATTTATTCCCCCAAATACACTTCCAAGATGCTGAAGAATAATGTAAACATAAAAACTCTAGTGCAGTGTAGTTTCTTGGTCTGAGTTTTAAAGTAACGACCTTTATCTCCAGTTTGTGTTAATATTATGAGAGAGTATCTAGGTTTTGCAACTCTGAACAGTTGGTTTCAACTTGAAATGTGTGTCTTTGGATGCAAAACATATAGACAAGGTACCACCACAGTAAAGAAAAATGTGCATCTGCAATTAAAAACATTGTCATTTTACAAAGTATAATTATTATCTTAGTTTTCCTGTTATTGTTTTCAAGTGAGATCATCTACACAATGGGTATTACAAGTTTGCCCTTGAGACATGGGACCCCTAAGGCTGGGAGCTATAGTAGGACTCCACATTCCCTCAAAGGCAGCTCTCCATTCAGAAAAGTTGTTTTCAGCTGGGAAATCTGTCCACCCAGAAACTGTTAGGATCACAGATCCATGCTCAAGATTAAGTTGGAACACCCTTAGAAATAACAGCAGTTTCCATTTTAGTGTATACTGTGTACCAAGAAATAAACAATCAATTTAATATTAATCAATTTAATTTTTACAGAAAGCCTTGAAGGTAAGTGATATTATTTCTGTCTTATAGATGGTGATAAACTATGGCATAGGTCAAATTTGACCAGCTGCCTATTTCTGTATATAAAGTTTTATTGGGCCACAGTTCATGTTTATGTTCACAGATCATTTTCATACAACGACAGAGGGAATTATGATATAGACTGTACGGCCTGCAAAGCTTAAGTTATTCTGAGAGGACAAGTTAACTTTCCCAAGGTAACAAGTGGTAAAGCTGAGATTCAGATCAATAGCTACCATCTCTATGTTCTTAACCACAAAAGCACCACATCTCCTTTCAGAGCCAACACCACTTTTGACCAGTGGGACTTGAAAAGGTGAGGGGATTTGTCCAAGGTCACATTTGAAATAGCACTGGAGAGGGCCTAGGACATAATTTAAAAGACCATTCTAATTTAGTTGTCCGGAGACTATTCCAAGCATTTTTCTTTTCCTTTTTTATAATTTATTTTAATTTCAGAGAGGAAAGGAGAGGGAGAGCTAGAGCCCAATTGGTGTGGCTCAGTGATTGAACATTGACATATAAACCAGGAGGCATGGATTCCTAGTCAGGGCATTTGCCCAGGTTTCGGGCTTGATACCCAGTAGGGGGGCATGGGTCATGCAGGAGGCAGGATTCTCTCTCAGCATTGATGTTTCTATCTCTCCCTCCTTCTCTCTTCCTCTATGAAATAAATACAACATCAGTGATGAGAGAGAATCATGTGCCCTGTGAGAGAATCCAACTGTGACCTCATGGTTCATAGGTCAATGCTAAACCTCTGAGCTACACTAGCTGGGCAGAATATTACAAGCTTTTGATGAACTAAATTAGTGCCCATTTTTCTATAAATATCTTAAATTCATTTAAATAATAAGGAGCATCTTCAAGATGCTCATATGCTCTTAGAAAAATCTAAGTAAAGGAATGAGCAAAGGAATTGAATATAGTTTGCTGGTTCTTGACCAGACTCAGTCCTCTCTTCTCAGTGGCACTCAAACTCTCCCTGCTTCTGATTGTTGGTCCCCACATTTCATTTGTAATACCGTTAGTGTACTGCCAGGGGTCTCTGCTCCTCCGCCATGGCTCAGTTCCCCCTCCTTGGCGACAAATGCTGCTATTTCTCAGTCTTTGCAATTCAGCATCAGCATTTTCCTTCCACTTCACTGCTCTCTGAACATTTTGACATTGGAGACCTCCAAGTCACATAAGCCACACCATTATTATATTTAAAGATGGATCATGAGCTTTTAAAAGGGAAATTAGAAATCTTGCTTTCTTAGCCATAACTACACCATCTGAGCTAAAGATGCTGAACAAGTTGGTATTGAAATCTTAAACGTATAAATCTGAAACAAAACATGACTCAAAAGGCATCTTTTCCTTGACTTTATGAAGTCAAAATTGTACCTTTTTGGTGCCTCTGAAAGTGTGGCATCATTTTGGGAGCAATCATTCACAGTATACAGAAAAAAGGAATTAAATATTTTAAATGTGGATGTGATGAGTTCGTTAAATGCCAAAAAAAAAAAAAAAAAAAAAAAAAAAAAAAAAAAAAAAAAAAAAGATCATTAAAGCTTTTCGAACCAGCAATGCAAAAGCACTGACGTACCAGCAGGGTCAGAGACTGCACTGGATTGGCTGCAGAAAGGCAGACAGGCCCACAGCTGACACTGCTAAATGCATCAGCAGAAGACATCACTAAGACATTTCTAATGATTC